AATCTAATGCAGCAAAAGTCAGCGGGCATGATTTCATTTTTCATGATGTGAAGGTATATATTTTTTATTTATCTATTTTTCTATTAATTTGTTCAAATTAAATTTTTTACTCACAGCCTTTGACAATGTTCATTTTTTTTAAGGGCCAACGTATACACGGATGGGCACCCGGATGCTTATCCAAAAAGTTCGAAGACTTTAAATTTCTCGAAGGAAGGACTTACTTGAGTTCGGACACCCCGTGCAAGTCAGATGTTGGATATGATTCTCTTCAGGATCTTCACTCTCCTGAGTTTCTCAATGGGATCAAGTGCTCTGGCCTTCCAAATCACAAATTGCACCTTAAGGTCGGCACTCCAGTCATGCTTCTCAGAAACATTGATCACTCAATGGGGTTGTGCAACGGTAATGTTATTCGAATTTCAATTTGTCGTCTTTATTTCGATTTATCTTTATACAAATTTAATTGATATGATTTTATGTTTCGAGGTTTGATGTCAACAGGTACACGATTGGTTATCACTAAGCTCTGCAGCCATGTCCTCGAATGTAGGATTTTAACCGGTGCCAGAGCTGGTGACAAGGTTCTTATTCCTAGGCTCACAATCATACCATCAGATTTGAGGGTACCGTTCAAATTTCAACGTAGACAATTTCCGCTCATGGTTTCATATGCTATGACTATCAACAAGAGTCAAGGCCAGTCATTATCACACGTCGGCTTACTGTTGAAGAACCCTGTATCCAGTCATGGACAGTTGTATGTGGCACTAACTAGAGTCACGAATTGGAGGGGACTGAAGATAATGATATGCGGTGATGGAGATTTTGACAATAGGAAAACCACGAATGTTGTATATAAAGAAGTGTTTAATAATATTTAGAATTAATTTTTTTGCTTATTTTTTTCTCAATGATCATGTTATGATTTTTGCAATTGTTTTCTTCTTTTATTTTTTTCCTTTTATCATATAGCTTCCCGTGCAAATGCACGGGTAAACAACTAGTTAGTTTAATCTATCGTTAATGTGCATATTGTGACGCATGTAAATATGTAAGCGTGCAAATTTCGGGCCAAATCGAGAAAACAATTGAAATTAATAGAAATAAAATATTTGGGTTGGGTTTGTATATGTCAGTCCGATTATCGGTTTTTTTATTTTAAAATGTTGATTATTTCAGTTTGATTTCGACTTTATTTTTAAAATAGTCGAAATAACTTAACTGACCAAAATATTTAAAAAATGTTATGTTTTATATTTTTATATAGGTATATTATTTATTTTCAGCCAAATATACATATAAAATATTAAATATTAACATTAAAATACTAAAAATATTTTTATAATATAAAATATAGCTAATTCTGTTATACTGGAAAATGCTCATCAATTACCCCCGCTTGATGAATAAAACATACACTATTTTGTGATATTGTGCATTTTTAATCACAGTTATAAAAATCGCCCTATGTGGTGCTTGGACGCTTCCGATTGGCACAAATCGGCAGAAAAAATTAGCCAGGCAGCTAGGGGGCGCCTAGGCGGGAGGCGGACCTAGGCGCTCCTAGGCGGGCTCGGCGGCAGTTTTTCTGTTTTTTTTTTTTTAAATACTAATTACATTATATTGTTCTCATGTTTTCTTAATAATATATTAATTTTATTATTTGAACTTAGGTGTGTCGATTTATTGTAAGTCGAGATAGTTTTGTTTTGTAGGTAGTTAAAATAAATAAAAAATTATCTATTTAATATTGATTCTAGCCTCCAACTAGGCGCCGCCTAGGCGCTCTAGGCGCTTGGTACTGGTCGAGCGCCTAGCAGGCACCTAGCAACTTTTAAAACACTGATTTTTATAGGTATTAATGTACATTTAATTTTTCTCAATTGTGCATTTCGTGTCGCATTATATGTATACAACACTTGACCAATTAATAATACTCTATTTTGATTATTTTGGTTAATTTAATTAATTGATTAAACAAACTAATTATTTCGGTTAAGCTTTAGTTTGGCTCGGGAAAAATAATTGTCGTTCACTTTTTTTTTTAAAAGTTCAACTCAATTATTTCAGTTTTGACATTTTAGTCGGTCGATTCTTCTGAACCGACCGATGAAAAATATTACACCGTCCGTAACGTTTTGAAATTTAATGTGCATATACATATGCTATAGTATGCATTATAGTGAATATTATTGTGCATTTATTAATTTTTGTTAAATTACAAATTTTACACATCAACTAATTTTTAATATATTAAAATTATTGAAATTACAAGTAAATCCTTGGAATCTTTATTAAATTATAAATTTGTCTCACATACTAAATTGAATATACTAAATTGAATATGTTAAAATTTAAGAAATTATTGTTGGATAATTGGTGTCAAATTACACGGGAATCCTACGAACTGATGTCCGAAGCAAATGCCGAGGACTCTCTTCTTCATGGCGTCCAACCGCTTGAGGAGGACGAGGAGCTTGCAGATCCACAGATCGCCGCCGTGGGCGTCGCTGCAGCTGCCGGTGATGACGAATCCGTCGTAGGCGGCGATCTCTCCGTCCGCCGGAAACACGCCGCGCGCCACCGGAAAGACGTCCCATTCCTCGCCCTCCTCCCTCAGCATTCGAACGAAAACCCCGAAGTAGCCGCCGTAGGCCTTCTTCACGTAGTCGGAGTCCTCGGCGCACAGGAGCACGGCGAACTTCCGGCCGCCCATTCTCTCTCTATGCGCCGA